GAAACAGTTCTGCACGTTGGGGTCAATGCGGCAGGCTTTGAGGTACGCAGCACCATACAGCGGGTCGTCCAATCGGAGGGTGTGAAGCTGTTGGATCAGGCCATCGAGTTCCACATCCTCAGGCTTGCGGGATGGGGTAGGCACTGGGGTGGGCTTTGGCTTCTCCTCCTTGACTTTCTCCTGCTGCTGGATGTACTTGCGGACTTGTTTCTTCTTCGTCTCCTTCAACTCCTGCTCCGGGTCCTCCGTGTCGCTGTCATCTTCTTCGTCAAAGCGCGCAACCTTGCGGTTTGGCACTGGTGAGTCTCTCTCTGCTCTTCCCCGTCCAATCCCGGTGATCTCCTCAAAGTAGTCATCATCTTCATCATCTGATTGGTCAAGGTAGGTGTTGTCAGAGCCCAGTCGCTCCGTGTCGAACCGGTCAACACTAAGAAGGGCTTTTGCTGCCTTCTCAATAGCCTTGGGCGTGAAGGGCGTAGACATGTCGTGCTCTGGATCCTCAAGCAGAATCCGGGCTTCCAGTCGCTTGCGGAAGGTGCGGTGAAGACCCATCCAGAGATAGTAGGCATACTCTCCTTCTGAGATCTTCTTCTTTCCCTTGAGCCAGCCCGCGATGCGGACAAAGTTGCGCAGGTACTGCCGCCAATCCCGTAGCTCTAGGATTGATTCTTCCTTGGACTTGCTGATGAAGCGCTGAAGGTCCTTGATCCGGAATCGCTTGGACTCGAGGTCTGCATTCCAATAGACACGGATGTCCTCCTTGAGCTGTTCCCATGTGCCCTGCTGAAAGGACGGGAATCCTTCAATGGTCTCCCTGACTACTCGTCCACAGTAGTCCAGAATGGTGTCGCATTTCTCTCTCTCCGTGAGGTTGTGTGTGATCGCCAGCCTCTCATACTTCCGTAGAAAAGGCTCAACATCGGAAGCTTCGCCCTTGAAGTGCTTTGGGGCTCGGCGTGATCCTTCAACTGGCATGTCCAGGACTGTCAGCGCAGACCGGCCTGACCGAGAGCCTAGGCTGAAGTCTGTGGCAACCGACGGACTCGGGGAACGGTGGTCGTCCATGTTGATTTGCGGGAATGTGAGGTCGAATGTGGGATGTGAAGTCGTGGTAGATAGTGACGCAGTTATTCAGGATAGTCTTGGTAGGGATCAATCACTTCCCCCTCGCGGTGGGCTCCAGTGATGTCGTATGCTATCCGGGAATCGGATGATTGATAGGTGAAAAGGGGTGAGGGGTTGGGCGATGTTGATTCCCTGATGCTGCCGCAAAGC